CATTATGACGATGCTTCTAAACTCTGCGCTCCCTGGGTTTTGTCAAGAAGATCACAGTTAATCTTCCACAATGCGCAGGAATGCCTCTGATATCCTGATGGGAATCAGGTCTCCGAGAATTCAATCAGCAACATGTGTCATAAATTTACCCAACTCAGATTAATCAGATATCATTAAAGACTCAGCATGGCTCCTTATTACCCAGGCAGTTGGAGGAATGGTGTAATTATGTCACTGGGGATGAAACTAATCAGAAAATAAAACCAGGTTTAGACATTCCTCCACTTCTGCTTCAGATTTATGGGGAAGAATTAGACAAATATTGACTAATTTGAATTATGACTCAGTATTTCGACCTGTGCCCCCCAAATTTACGTGCTCCCGCTCCGTCATTATCCCTTGATTTACATCTCAAGTGAACTTCTTTAGTGCTCTGCAGCTGCATCTCACTGAACAGCCAGCGAACCATAACTCAGAGTCCCTGCAGGGCGTCGCTGCAGCAGGAGGTCAACACGCCTCCCGCTGCAGAGATTAGCAACGAACGCAGGCCAAATGTTGGATCGTGAAAATATTGGTTTTAATGCACAGTTGGTGCTCTGGTCTCCTAGGGCCATTGTAGATAGCCTCGGCTAAGAAGAGGAGTAAATTACATCAAAAATTTTTAAAAATCTGAAATTTTTAGATTAATCTCAGAAGATTTATAGAGACAAAAACATGAAAATTTCCAAAACTCAAAAATTAGTGACAAAAAATGAAAACATTTCCAAATTTTTCGAAAAAAAAACAAAACAAAACAAAAACATGGAAATTTCTGAGGTTGAAAACTCAAAAATTTGCCAGAAAAAAAAAAGAAATTTTGAGTTTTTTATCAAATCTTTCTAGATTTTTTTTGGGGAAATTTCTAAGTTTGAAAAATCAAAAGTTTGCAAGAAGAAAAAAATCTGAAATTGTGAAATTACGTGGTGCATTTCTGTAGTTTCACCGGCAGAACTGAAAGAAGGCAGATGAGTTTGATTTCTTCACAGATTATTTGACTCTTTCCAAACTGTCACAACATGGTGGCAGGTTTCAGAAATATGTGAAAAACATATTTCTCTTACAAAAGTTACATCCTGCTGCTTTAATCCAATAAAAAACACTTTTCTCTGACAGCGTTCGGCTAGTCTGCAGGGGCATTTTACCGGTCCAGTAGAAATTAATCAGACCTACGTCGTTTGAAGCAAGATTTAGGTGAATTTATCTGAGCCTCTGTGTAAAGTTTTGCCCCTTCAAGATAAAATCCAAGGTAAATTTACAGTTGTGAATCGCAATTGATATTTTTGAAATGACAAATGTTGCATAAGCTTTCCAACCTGGAAACAGAACAGTTGAGAGAAAAAACACCGAATTCAGGCCCATAAGGAGCGTCGACTTCTGATTGCGTCTTTATTCAAACGGACCAACCCCAAAACCAACATGTCAAATTTTTTCCTGCTTCTGATGAGGATAAAAACGTGTTTCCCAGAGAGGATTCCTGAAAACAGGGATTCACTACTCAGCCGAAAAGTGAACTACAATTTCCAAGCAAGAAGACAACATGGAGGAGCTTCCAAAAATAAAACGATAATGAAACAAAGAGGAGCGCCACCTACAGATGGGTTAAGACAATAATTTTAAGCATTAAAACAGAGGCTTTTACCAAAATAAGCAGCCATGTTGCTACATTTGACAAAAAAAAGCAGCAATAATTTCAGAACTGGTCGGGTTTAAGGCAGGTGTAACACGAACTCCTGCTGAAACGTCTGCAAAGTGTTGCTACAGTCACCGGAAACCTTTGCTTTCACACTGACGCAGCCGTGAGGAACGCAGGTCTCACACACCTGGAGAAACTGAAAGCACTGCACCTGTGACCCCGCCGCGACCTTTCAGGACCAGGAAGACTTGAACTCACTCAGTTCAAACAAATATCTTTAAGGTAAATGGTTCAGTTTATTTCATCTTTGTATTTTTAATCTTGTCCAAATGCGAACACTGGATTTGAGTCAAGAGATTTAAAAAAATATATTTTAAAGTATTTTTAATCGTGTTTTATTTGCTGATGTAAAGTCAACAAAGCTGACTCACCTCACAGCAGCAAAATCTACCTAATGGGATAAATATAATTGATTGATTGATCTGAGTGATGTCAGAACCACAGACTCAGAAAGTGCTGAGTCACTGGATTTCTCAGAAAGCAGGTGAAACTGAAATACCAAAGATAAGAACTGAAAGCCTCAAACAAACTGTAACTGTGTGAAAACTGTTTGTTAAATCAAAAATATTCTCCATGTGCAAGTGGGAGAAACTTCTGGAAGCAACATTTCTACATTTTTACGAGTCTCCTGTGTTTACGGTGGGAGATACGAGAGGTTAAAGAGCGTAATAACAAGCTTTAAAGGGAGGAAACATGAGGTTAGCTGAAATGAAAGTGAATGAGAGTTTAAGTGTTTCTCTCTGAACTCTGGATGATTTAAACACAAACTGCAAGGCATTCAGCACTGGGTGAAAGCAGACAGAAATATTATATTTTCACGCGACAAATGTAGAAATGAAAGGTTGTTTGACGTTGTATTTGGGCCATTGGAGACGGGACAAAAAGAAAAGAGTTTTGAGATTAAAATTTTGAGATCAATCTCAAATTTTCATTTGGTAAAAAAAATTATAATCATGTTTTGAAAAGTCAAAAATTTGCTCCAGTAAAATAAAAAATTTTTTTAGATTAATCTCAGAAATTTTTGAGGAATTTTGTGAGTTTCAAAAGTAAAAATTTTTCAACTTTAGGAATTTTTTAAAATTTAAGACGCTGAAAATTTGTGACTTTTTATATGGAGAAATTTTCACCATTCTTCTAGAAAATTTCTGAGTTTAATCTGAAATTTTCTGCATCTTATTGTGGCACATTTTCAACTTTCCAAACTCAAAAGATTCACTGATGTTTCCAGAATTTTCCGACATTAATCCCAAAATTTCACGTTTTTTTTTTCTAGCAAATTTCAGCTTTAAAACTCAGAAATGTCCTTGTTTTTTTCTAGAAGGTTTCTGATCTTAATCCCCAAATTTCTGATTTTTTTCTAGAATCTTTTTTAAATTTTCAAACTAAAAAAATCTTTTTTTCTATTGGGTTTCCCAGATTAAAGAATGCAAAGTTTTCTATCAAATTTTTTGAAATTTCAAATTCAGAAACTTTCATGTTTTTTGAGAAAATCTGCAGAAATGTAATCTTTTTTTAATCTATAGTGGCCACATTACACTGTTGCAGCTTGTGGCAAAAAGAGGAAATAAATACGTTTTGAACAGTTTTCTTTATTCAGGTGAAGAGCAACTTCCTGTGAGCCCTTTAAAATCTGGACATTTTTTCTGTGCTGAGCAGAGGGCTGGTTCTCTTCATCCCCTGACAGAAAACATTTCATTGTCATTACCACACATGATTTTGATGCCTTTTTATTTTTGTTTGTTTGGGTTTTTCCGCCCTCACAATAGAGGTGAAAACCAGACCGACTCCTGCCTGAACTGTGAACCAAATACGTCGAGACGAGAAAAGAAACAGGTTGAGTTTTACCCTCTGGTTTCTGCAGCCCAGATGGTTCTGATGCATCACCGCCCCGGTCACAGCGCCCGCAGGACGCCCACAGTCTGAACCTCACCAAACCTCATCTTAATCTTAAAACTACTGACGCCGCCCAAAACGTTAGCATGCATGCATGTATGTATATAAAACCCCAAACCTCAGGCTGGTTCTGAAAGGCAGCAGCAGACAGGAGGAGGTGAAGCACGCGGGTCCAGACTGACTCACTGCATCGCTCTCTATGCTTCATGTTTGCACGTTTTGGTCCAGAATGTTAGAATCAAATCCCAAAACAAAATGTGCAGAGGAATGCAAATCGTGTGAATCAGCTGAGGAAAATGTCAAAGAATATTAAATGTACATTTATCTGCTGGGAGAATCACTTTTTTTTAATGAAATCTCACTTTAATTACTTTACATTTTCCATGCAGAAAGCAATTCAGGCATTATTATAGACAGCGTAGCTCATTTTTATGCGATGAAGCTCATATTTCTTTAAGAAACTAAAAGGAAATGAGTTTTAAAAGCTCTTGCAGAAAGAGATGAAAGCACAAAAACGTCTGCAGCAGAGATCAGAGATGCATCGTCCTCATCAGGCTGGAACTATATTCCTGCCTAGTTTGAATTTTTCAGATTCATCTACGAACAAATTGTGTTTCTGTGTCTTTCTGTTGCATCTAAAAGACACAAACGTTTGATTTCCTGCCTGAATGAAAGTTTTTCCAACCATCATTCGCTTTATTTTAAGCCAAACTGAACATCTGCAAGGATTTACATAAATATGATGCTTCCAGGGTTGTTTATAAAGATGTAAGGAGGAAAACATGTATTTTTATTGTATCTTGATTTATAAATTGTAAGACTGTGTTTATGAACATGCAGGCATGAAAACGGATAGTAGAGACTTCAGTGCATAGAAATACTCAATGCATCAGCTGCAGACTTGTTCTGCTGTTTGTTTCTGTGCTTTCAAATAAACAAATAAATGAAATAAAAATATCAAATGTAACAACAGGGATCAATAAAAACAATAACTGAGTCTCAAAGACCAAAATAAACTCCCACTAACGTCAGAAAAATGAGGTAAAAAGAAGTTCTGGGTCTCTGTCCCCGTTTCCATAATTATCTGATGTGATTATCTACATTATTTCCTCCTCTTCCTCCTCTTCTTCCTCTTCCGGCTGCAGCCCTAATAAAGAGTCCCAAATGTCAACAGCAGAACCTGCGCAACGTCTGACGCAAAGCCGGAGGAACGCACGTTTCGCGCACCTTGACGAAAGTGAAAGTGCTGCACCCCACTGCGCACTTTCAGATAGAAAAGCCCTTCAGCTCAGCGGGGTGTCCGAGTTCAACAGTCTGAGCTAGAAAAGGTTTCACCTTAAACTCCGAGCGCTGTGACCGTGGGAACTGCGCTTACCTTTCAGAAACCGCCTCCACGCCCAGAAATCCTCCCCGAAAAGCCGCAGCAGGTAAAGACGCAGCAGCTCGACTGTCCCGCTGCGCTCCGGGATGCGTAAAGTCTCTGCGCGCTCAGACGCGTTGGCCGGGTTGATCTCCTGTCATCTAAGCGGATCAATACGAATCCAATCACAGAGCTGTGCGTAAAAATCAGCGCGGGAAGGTCATTTTCGGTTCAGTCCACGCGTGGAGCCGCCGCGATCTGTGGCTGTACGTTCCGTCAAGTGCGCAACAGGGAGCCTGCAGCTTCTTCCAATCACTTCACACCTAAATACTGGCTGGATTTCAAAATAAAAGCATGCGTGCGCACACCTCCAACCCCCCTGGAGGAGCAGCAGACTTCCTCTTTTACAAAGCAAAAGCACAACGAGGCAGCAGCGTCTGCAAACCTCACAGCGGATTTTATAATTAGATAAATAAAATGAGTTTCTTCCTTTTTAAATCTCTCACTAGAACTACGAGGGAATTTTTTCAGGAAGATTTTAAGTCAAATCTTGATTTATTTGCTGCAACCTGCTCGGTTTCCTCAGACAGACATTTTTAAAAACCATTTCTTTTGTTTTAATTCAGATTTTTATCTTTTTTTTAATTTACTGTCACTTTGCTGCTGTTTCACAGACTTTTCCCTTAATTAACTGAACCTCATGTTTTAGGATCATTTGGGATGTGATTGAATTTAAATTGTTTTGGTCTTGAGATTACATTTATTGGTGCCACATAAATAATCTGAACTGAATTTTTAACATTTAAACGATTAAAATAATTTATATAATGTTATATATATGATATAAACTGAAAAACTAAGAAGTACAATAAATAAGAGAAACACTCAATTTAATCCCACTTAATATAATCCCAACTTTTCATTTTTTGCCTCCAATTTCTCACATTGTGAGAATATTTTCATTTACAGATCTCTTTGCTTTGGCCAAATTAATTGTTAGAACAAGTTTGTTGAGGATCAAAATAACAGCAAGATGGAAAGAAATGTGCATTGTTTAGTGGAGATTTATTGGAAAAAGAAAACAGAGCGTGAGAGGAAACAAAGCAGGGAAACAGTAGAAACCAGCAGAATGACAGACACTTGAATACAGCAGCGAACACAAACAGACGGGTTTAATTAGCGGCTGTTTTGCAGTTTTCTAGAAGTTTGTTCCAGATTTGTGGTGCATAGAAGCTGAATGCTGCTTCTCCATGTTTGGTTCTGGTTCTGGGGATGCAGAGCAGAATCAGAACCATAACACCTGAGAGGTCTGGACAGTTGCAATGACAACAGCAGGTCTTTACAGACTGTTTGTGCCGTTCAGGACTGAAGAATTTTAAACGCGCAAATTCACATTTTGCACATTTCCTGCTTGCACATTTCCTGCTTCCATTTCGGTCTCAAAGAGTTTTTGGACAATAAGTTATTTTTAGTGTCTCTGGAAAATGAGCCGTTTCAAAAACCTTACGAATAAAAACATAGGGCACCCTGTGCTGCTAGCAACCCTAGCAAAGCTCCAGCATGTTTGGTCAGCCGGTTTTACTGATGCATGTGCTGTACAATGGCTGCTGGAAAAGACGAGTGTTTTGTTGTTGACTTATCATCCAGAAACCACTTGCTGCATTCTGGTTGATTGTGCTGGAGGCTCCACTTCTGCTTTTCAAAGTTGTATAACTTAGCATCTGTTTGCCTTAAAACAGAGAATTCTGAACTGGACTAAAGACTAAAATCTCATTATCTAAGAATGACTTTATTCATAAAATGAAATGAACAAATTTTGATGAACATGATTGATTTGTAAAAGTGATAAAAAGGGTGAAACATCCGGAGGTAAACACTTGCTGTATGAAATATGTGCATCGCTTTCGCCGCGCAGGGAAAACAAAATAATCTGAGCTAATTGCAGCAGAATCAATGTTAAACTGTGGAGTAAAGGCATAATAAATGCATGTTTTAAATTTTATATTTAATTACAAAATAAAGAAAGCTTCATCATAAAGCTGGATTGATGATTTTTTTTCCACTTTTTCAGTTTACCTCAGCTCTTTTCTTTAAGTCAATCAAGATTTTTAACCCATTTTTGCATGAAAATAAACTAAGGCAGACAAAAGACTTTAAATAAATAAATATGCCAGCTGCATTTTATAAGCATCGTTTATAGTTTTAAGACTGGAAACACTGAATTCTGCAGAGACCGTCTCGGTGAAGTGCGTTTTAAACACGGATGACACATTTCGTGGTATTTTGCAGGCTGCAGGGATTTAAAACGGCAGTAAAGAAGAAGAATCTGCTGAGTCAGTGGTTGCTACGGTGATTTTCCTCTTTTGAAAACACACCATGAATGGAGCAATTAACGATTTCAGGGTTGTTATCTTTTGCTGATCGACTTTCAAACCTTTGTGATCACAGATTAAGAATCCAAAGGAGAAAGTGAAGTTGGATGAATTATAAAATGGACTTTAATTCCCTTGTAATGCTACTTCATTTTTCTTTGAAGACTTCCTGGACCTTTCAGAGTAAGGGCTTTACCTGAGAAGCATGAGCAGGATGATTTGGACTCATTCTTTCCACATCATGCTGGAAACCTTTGGCCACAATTTGTTCTCCTTCTTGACCCACAAGGAAACCGACTTACCGGTTCAGCTGCATCATCTCAGCTTTATTTCTGACGTGATTTATTTTTTAATTTTGCAGTGTGGTGGAGATGGCGCGGTGGATACATCGCTTTAGAGGAATGTGGCGGGCAAAGCCCCGTTCCCCCGTGGGCTTTCCCATCTGAGCTCAGCAAACACGTGTGGTTGTGGGGGAAGTTTGTTTTGGTCTGGTCCAGATTCTGGTTCCTGACTGCTGGGATTCCATTATTTGGTGACAAATGAGAGTGATGTAACGCTGAACTATTTTATCTCAAAGTTGGAAAACATTTGGTGCTGGTTTACTAATTATTGATTATTTATTAAAGCTCAGCTTTAATAAATAAAGAGATCAGATCCATTGATTAACTGATTATTGGCCAGCAAATACTATGAGAAAACCCCCCTAATCTGATTCTGTTTTTTAATCTATTTACTTATTCATCATTATTTTACTCTAACGTTATTTGGTTTTACTATAGTTTTTACTATAAAAATATTTAGATTTTATTCTGGTTATAGTTGAAAGAAGTAAAGTTAAATTTATTCATATAGCACCTTTCACAGACATTCAGACACAAATATGAAAACTGACATTAAATTTAGCATATTTAGATTTTGTCTTATTTTCATCTTGTTTAAACTTAAATTTTATTTGACTTTTTCTGGTTTTATATCCGCAGAAAATATTGATATAGAAAATAGTTACTTTTTAAATCAGTTTTTCAAACCTAATCGTTGCTTCGATTTGGGACCAAAACTGTAATAAGTCTCAAATTTTCAGCTCCTTCAGTTCTCCTTTATGTTCCCCTCCTAGCCTGTGGGGGCGCTGCATCGAGAACCACTGAAGAAAACAACATCAAATGTTCAGAAGAAGACATGAGCACAACTTCCTTCTTCACAGAATGTAAATGAAAATGGCGTGCCATCAGATTTCTCTTTTGTCTTTGGCAAAAGACAACAGACAATTTCCCCCGCTAGCACAAGATGCTAGTTTGTTTTGGTTGTTTTTACCCAGAATGTCCTGCGCTGTAGTCCACTTCCAACTTTTGGAGTGGTCTCTGGTCCACTTGCCATCCGTATAAGCATTGAAACTACACCAGAGTTCACTTCAACCGAACCAAGACGGACCAGATTTACATTTTTGCTCCAAATCAGAATTCAGTTCACAGCTCCACAAACCAACAGGACTTTCTGGTGATTAACCAAACAGGGTGGATGTGAATGCATCGTAAATGATCAGGGAGAGTTCTGATTGGTGGTTCTTCACCGCCAACCAAGCAGGTGGTCCACCACACGAATGGAGGTTAGACTGTTGCAGATGATATGATGAGGCATCATCTCAAAGAATCTGCTTTAGTGGATCGAAACTAGAATCAAACTCTTTACAGAGATAATATTTTTAGCAAGATGATCATGAACCTGCAAAGCCACTTTTTTTTAAGCAGAAATGGGAGGTTTGAAACCGGTCTGGGTTGGTTTGCTGTGTCTCTTAAACAGGCATCAGCATCTCAGATACCAGCTGAGCTTCATGCAATGGACGTTCAACAGATGAGGAAGCCTCATTTTGCGTTTTCTGAAAGCTGTATTAAAGTTTTCAGAACTAAAATGTTAAAAAACCCCTTTAAAAACATAGAAATAACAAATCAAAAAGACAGTAAAACCACAGAAATGTTTCCTCCCTCACCAACAGCGGTGACTCAGCAGGGACAGAAGTGCTGGGTTGCTACCAGTAAAGGCCCTGCGGTCAAACTAAGAAGTGTTGTTTCATCTGCCTTCCCTTCTTTTGTCAACAGTTAGTCAAGATATGGAATATAATCTGGGCTAAATGCAGAAGTCCTCTTGGATTACATTTGAGAAGATAACGAACATTTGCTCTAGATGCTTTGCAGTGATTTCTGCTCTGATCGTATTGATTGGACGTTTTTCCGGCTGTGGCTGAGAGACTTTAACTCCAAACCAGAGTCACATGTCAAAGAAGGTTACAGTGGGATTTTTTACATGCAAACTTCAGATTACTCCCTTATTGGAGTGGTTCCTCCACCGATCAATAACTACGATTGGCTTCCGACCAGAAAACAAGAACAACAGAAAAAGTGGCTGAAAAAGTAAATTTCAAAGTGAGTTACGTCATAAAAACATAATGCAATTAGAAAAGAAGCAATAAAAGTTACATTTTATCAAATCCCAGCATCTTGGCCATGTCAGAACCTTGAAATGCTTCTAATGGAGCCGCATCTAACGGCGTGTTCCCAACAAACGTGTTCTGAGCATCAGGACTGATTTACATTCAATGTGGCGCGTCAGACGCATCAAACGCTCCAAACTGCTCAAATCGCGCCACAGCGGGCCCTCGACGCGCCTGACGCTCCTCTTTCTTCTTTCCCCAACCGCAGCGGGTGGAGTTTTCAACCAAAAAGGTTTATTTTGACCTAATCTGCTCCAGTTGAGGAATCAGATGAGGTGGTCCAGGCATCTGTTCAGAAAGCCTCTCTGTACAAGTTATCCAGGTGTTTCCCAATGAGAGGAAACTGTATCCCATCTGGACTAAGAAATCCTCGGCATAAGAAGGACTAGGGCTTCCTTCTGGACTGCTTGAAGGCTCCAGAAGCAGAA